AAGGAACCTATCCCTTCATATGAAATTCCAAAATCATACATTTCCAATTTGTATACGCCGATTGGTCACATACCGAGTCGAGCCGAGAATAACGCAACAAAATCATCAGATTTTGACATTAATATTTTCCAAAGTACGCCAACACCGGAAGGGAAAGAAACAACGCGCAGCAGTTCCTCGTCAAGTATGAAAACTGGCGATATGGATAAGTTGGTTACTTCCACACCGGCGACAAACCTAAGGTCTGATACAGTGAAACCGAGGCTTGCCTCAAATTACCCAATATCCAAATCGGAGAGTTTTTCTACAAGAACACAGCATTCGTCAGCTTCGATACACAATAGGGCTGCTACCACACCGTCAGTGTTTGAAAATACAGTGAACTCACAGCGAAGTACAAAAACTAACACAACCAGTACAACGCAAATATCAAATTATTTGACTGATTCAGCGATTCCATCATTTGCCCCTGCTGCAAAATTGAACACAACAAAGAGACCATATTACAACCAGGAATACAGCGAGGAGAGTGTAACAGCCAACGAAAATAACGCAGCACAAAAATCAAGTATTTCCAAGACGTGGAAACCAGAAACAAGTGAGATAATTGGTAAATATGGATCAGTCACTGGGGATCTTCGCACACAAAAGATGAGAGAACCTACGAATGTCGATGAGCTAACCACGATTGAACAACAAAAACAAACTTGCACAGGAATTACAGAGAAACCAGCTCCAAGCGTCCCCGCTTCTTTTGTGAAAGGTAAGTTTACGTATTGAGACAATTAAGAGTGTACATGTTTAGCTACAGTATAAAAATAATTAACAAACGCTGTTTACTCGTCTATATAGCCTTTCTCATTTCTCGCCTATTTTGATTTTTTGTGGTACTTTTTTTCTAAATCACAACTAGTGTGAATTCTACCTTTACTAGACTGAAATATTTTTTATTTTGCCTGGGAAAGGGGTAAAATCTTTTTTTACAGACTATGAAATTGTGTCTTCTCACTCTTCTGCATGAACATATGCATACGGGTCCAGTCCTCTCCCGACCTCTTACGCCAATGCTTATATACATCCTAAATTGGATTTTTTTTTTCTTAAATGAATAATGTTTTGACGAATCAACTATAATTCAATTTATTATAGATTTCAGAAAAGAAAAATTCTCGAAGGAACCTATCCCCTCATATGAAATTCCAAAATCCTACATATCCAATTTGTATACGCCGATTGATTACAATCCGAGTCGAGCCGAGAATAACGCAACAAAAGCATCAGATTTTGACATCTTCCAAAGTACACCAACACCAGGAGGGAAACAAACAACGCGCAGCAGTTCCTTGTTACGTATGAAAACTGGCGATATGGATAAGTTGGTTACTTCCACACCGGCGACAAACCTAAGGTCTGATACAGTAAAACCGAGGCTTGCCTCAAATTACCCAATATCCAAATCGGAGAGTCTTTCTACAAGAACACAGCATTCGTCAGCTTCAATACACAACAGGGCTGCTACCACACCGTCAGTGTTTGAAAATACAGTGAACTCACAGCGAAGTACAAAAACTAACACAACCAGTACAACGCAAATATCAAATTATTTGACTGATTCAGCGATTCCATCATTCGCCCCTGCTGCAAAATTGAACACAACAAAGATACCATATTACAACCAGGAATACAGCGAGGAGGGTGTAACAGTCAACGAAAATAACGCAGCACAAAAATCAAGTATTTCTGAGACGTGGAAACCAGATACAAGTGAGATAATGGGTGAATATGGATCAGTCACTGGGGAATTTCGCACACAAAAGATGAGAGAACCTACGAATGTCGATGAGATAACCACGATTGAACAACAAAAACAAACTTGCACAGGAATTACAGAGAAACCAGCTCCATGCGTCCCCGCTTCTTTTGTGAAAGGTAAGTTTACGTATTGAGACAATTAAAAGTGTACATGTTTAGCTACAGTATAAAAATCATTAACAAACGCTGTTTACTCGATTAGCCTTTCTCATTTCTCGCCTATTTTGAGGTACTTTTTTTTTTAATCACAACTAGTGTGAATTCTACCTTCACTAGACTGAAATATTTATTTATTTTGCCTGGAAAGAGGTAAAATCTCTTTTACAGACTATGAAATTATGTCTTCTGCATGAACATATGCATACGGGTCCAGTCCTCTCCCGACCCCGTACGCCTATGCTTATATACATCCTAAATTAGAAATATTTTTCTTAAATGAATAATGATTTTGAGGAACAACTATAATTCAATTTATTATAGGTTTCAGAAAAGAAAAATTATCGAAGGAACCTATCCCCTCATATGAAATTCCAAAATCCCACAATTCTAATTTGTATACGCCGAATGGTTACATACCGAGTCGTTCAGTGGAATCGGAGCATGATGTAGTATTACACCGACAGTTTTATCTGCAAAATTTTACAATCAAACTTGAAACATCACCGAAAGATAAGAGATTCAAACCGGAGAATGATGTTATATATCACAACCAATGGACTAAATGCAGTGCTCAGATCATCAACGAGCTTAACGACATTGTCCGTTCACAACACACAGTTAACGTCAGCACTGCGGCGATTCTTATTTTGTAGACATCCGTGACTCCAAGGTGAAGAAAGGACGTCTTCACTTTACAATAAGATCCTGTCAAACAGGTAATATTTCGGTGTTTGTGAAGATAGATGACTTCGCTATAACAAAAAATCTCCACGTATCGTTCAACCCTTGTTCTGGTTCTCTCTCGGAGATGACAATCGTGGAAGCCGATCCAGCACAAGATACGTTCGTATTTCGAATTTTTTTATTTGATGTTTTTGGTGAACCGGTCCCTCCAAATTCAACTGTAAATCTCGAAGTCGATGCAAGTTTCTATTCTACTGAAAACGAAGAAGTCGTAAATGAAATATTTGTCGAACAAGAACAATTGTGTTATGATATAACAGTGAGAGGTGAGAGGGCTTGGTCTCTGGACCTTAGAGTGTTTCTTAATGGCGAAGAATTAGAACATCCGCAAGAATTTGAATTTACAGATAAAGAATGCGATGTTATAGAATGGCTTGATGAAGAGGATTATGATGGCATTAAGGAATTTTTTGAAGAAAGTGATTGCGGGTTGACCATACCTTTTACAACGGGTGAGGATGACGGAGTTTTTGTTGCATATGATGAAAATGACTGTAAAATACAATCGCAAAATGGCAAAAACATCAAATTGCTTTGTAAGAATGTTCGTAAATACGATATTTTGGGACCAGACTTTGCGCATATCAATAACATCAAAAGAGTTCTTGAACTTAAAGATCGTATTGAAATCCAAGAAAATGAAGAGGATTCTATCATTGACCTTGGAAATATTAAGTCCCAACTCCATCCAATTTGTAAAGAGGTTGTTGAGCATCTTCTTCGTGGTTTATACTATCGATGGAAAGCTTCAGAAGTGGCCAGAATTCGTATGGAATGGAAAAATCGGCTTCTCTGTATTGAAGAAGTGATGTTTTTGGACGCGAAGTCTTTGAGTTTAGTATTATGCAAGTATTTTAAGGATTTCTTTGGTGCTTTAATGAATCGTTACAACCGCGAAGCTTGTGATGAACTTTTCGATTTTTTCAATTTCTACCGAGACGAAGGCGAGGTGGATCTTCATGGCTTACTTGTGGCGGATGAAGAGAAGCTGAAATTGTTGAGATTGAACTTGATGAGTGGCTCATTAAGCAACGATCAAATCATCGAGATCCTGAAAATGTGCAAAATACGAAGCAAACAAGGTCGAGAGAGACGAACGTTTAGAAAGGAATTTCGCCGGGGAAAGATTTCTAAACATTTAGTTCAAGACTTCATAGCCGGGGCAAGCAAAAAGGACGACGATGATCTCGATGTTGATGCTATTATTACGAGATGCAGATTGGAAAGTGATGAAGCAATCCGAAAGTTAAAAGATACATTGGATAACTTCAACATTGACGAAGCAATTGAGAATAGCACACCCTGGCTTGAAATCATAGTTGGTGCTGGTCGTCACAGTCGAAAGAAGGAACAGAATATCCGCCCAAAGGTTGAGAAACTCCTCAAAGAAAGAAAGTGTAAGTTTGATCCTGTCAACAAGGGTTCGCTGGTTGTCACATATCAAGACTATGATGGTCCTCAGCCTTGTTTTGGAGAATAACCACATCAATCAAACCACATCAATCAAGTCTTTGTCAAAGATGTCAGGAATTAGGTCGCCCTTGTGACATGTTATGATTCGGACTAATAGAAAGATATTGAAACCTTGAAACAAATTCGCTCAGGAAACGCGACATTTTTAGCTATTACAAGCAAATGAGTTTTCATATAGGCTGATAATTAATACTTTGGCTGATAATGCTATGCAACTCATGATACGCATTGACTTAAACATAACTTCACATCTTGCTCACCACTAAAGTGGGGCAAGTGATATCTAACGTAGTTGCGTTTTACTGATGTAAAACTTTTTGAAGTAAAATAATTGATTTAAGATACAAGATAAAATGAAACTGCATTATGTGTTCCATATGAAACCATTTATTTTATCGTCCTCGCTCACGTAACCAGGGGCCCCGGGCCTTGGGAAGATCATTAAGTGGGGGGTAAATATTCATATATCCATTCTCCCCCCTACTTAACGATCTTCCTCGGCCCCCGCAACCTTGCTTTTCCCGAAATTAGATTGATATATGAGATGTGTGCGACCCAGCTATTGTGCATTCTGGCCAGGCACGCCGGAACATCGATAAGCGGGGGCATATATTCATACATTTGTGTTCTACATTATTGGTTTACTTTGAAATCGATTGTTTTTACGGTCTGTGAACTTGAATAATATATGAATATATGCCCCCCCCCAATTATCGATCTTCCGGCGGCGTCCCTGATCTTCGGCCCTCACCCTAACCTTATTTGGAAAAACTCTCACGATAGGCTTACATAAAGTATGGGAAAAACAGCACACTGCACACATGATTAATACAATTTACAAACAGCAAAATGGTTGTCAGCTTTGTCATTGCAATTTAGCTGGCCTTTCACGTGTTTAATATGCAGTGGGTACGTTCATTATTCAAAGCAAGCAGACGTCTAGTTGGTACAGATCTGGATGGTAACAAATATTATGAAATACTTCGAGGTATATCCAATCAAACCTGTAGGTACATTGGGGTTATTACATTTAATGGTTCCCTGCCAAGTACCTTGATACTCAGATCTGTCAAGGCCTCAAGGGTCAAAATTGGTACAACAGGGAGGAGTGCTAATTTTAGATGTAATGACCATTTTATTTTCTCGGGTTGAATGTCTAGACAACCATGGTATGATGGTAATTAATACTATAATAGTATCAAACAGTGGCGTAGCCAGCCTGACGATTTTGTCCCGCTATGTAAATTTCGAGTTATTATAATTACCCATGTCTTTAGAAATCTATTGTTTTCACAGTCAGTAAACACCAAAATATTAGCATAGCGGGACAAATCGACAGGCTGGCTACGCTACTGGTATCAAATGATACTATCTGGTGGGTGGTGCTATTTAGCTTTAATTCAACATGTCCTAGCCTTTTTTTTTGTGGAAAGAATTTGGCTTAAAGGAATGCATGGCATATGTATACATGTTTACAATTTTATAAAATATAAAGTAACTAAGCAAGCTTTTTTTTAAGATGGCATTAAAAAACCTAGAAGAGAGGTTGTAACAAAGCAGGCCTTAAAACATGAAGAGTATGAATCTGGTGTTATTCCAACAGAATGGGAAGGTAAGGTACTTTCTTATAAAATATTTAAAGCCTTAAAGGATATTGGCAATGAAAATAATTGATCTCTTGTATACTGGTTCGTTACTTCATATAGTAACTGTTGATTGGGATTCAGAATATCCTTCTTTCTACAAAGGTCATAGGCGTCCATGAGCATAGGCTTCCATGACTCTAGCTGAAAATAAATAATAAAGACATCTGGCAGTAGGTGAAAAAGCCATATATTGGTGCATTTGGGCATCAGGGCATATGTTGCCATATATTATATATACTTGCTAGTGTTCTTATAAGTATAGACTTGTGTTGCAAAGAAATCAGGATCACTGCTTGAATTGACAAATCTATCCTATTTTTTTGTTCAGCTTGGCTAAGAGGTTCGGTTGATACTCCACCAACGCATGAGGTACAGTAAAACTTTATGTTTTTTATTTACATTCTTTCTTCCAAATCAAGCTAAAAGTAAAAAGAATCCAAACACAGTGACTGGTAAATGATCACAGTAATGGATACAGTTAGTACATGTTTTGCGGTCACTACAAATGCTGTGCTAGTCACACTTCATTAAAGATAAATTTGGACGCTATAAAGCCGTTTGGGATGATCAAGAAGACGCTTCAAATTCGGAAAAAAATTACACCCGCCAAACCGCCAAGACATGACACACTAAATTGTCACGCACTGTAATATCGTCCCTGGAACAGAGAAAAGTAATAATGATAGGCAGGTCCCCAAAAGGACACGTTCATCTCAAAATAGGAAGGAAATAATTCCGGAAAAATACGCTGTGACTTTCAAAGGAGCACAAGAGGATCCTCATAGGCTCCTACTTCCACGGCCTAATTGCCTTCCCAGAGGCCTGTTGTATCAAGCCCGTTTAGCTTATGGAGAAGTCAAAAAGAAGACTTAAAGACAAAAAGAAGAAATAATAATATATCTCTTCGTCCTCGAATCTCTCTTAAATAAGTCAACTTGAATATTATTGGTTGTAAACAGTATCTTTGACCTTGTATTAAGGTTAAAAACATTTATAGTTCACTTGCTGAATAAAACGATAGACTTGTTCATATTTTGAACTTAACCAGCGTTCAAGTTAAACGGGTTTGATACAACCGGTCCAGAACGACAACGAATTTTCAGAAATTTGCGATCTCTGACGCTGATTCAGTGGCGGATCAAGGGGTGTGCTGAATCAGTAAATTACATGCACAGCTATAGTAATTTATTCTGCACACCCCTAGATCCTCCACTGCGCTGGTTGAAGGTGTTTTGACACATTCTCATAGGATCATTCCTGTTAGATGCACGCACGCACGTAAAGCTTTCTTTAAGTAACTTAAAAAATTAACTCCAACTGTGCAGGATTTGTTGAAGAAGCAACGGCAACAAATAATGTTATCAAAAAAGGTACACGAAGTTAACCAGCGGGATAAACAGGTACTTCTCTTTCAGATTCAAAGTTTAAATTTAGTTTAGATTATATTCAAACACATACATCAAGGTGGAAATATTTTTTCGGTTGTGAGATCTGCAGGACCTCAGGCTCAGGACAGGGTGTAGTTTGATTGCCACCGACTGGTTTTGATGTTGAAAAGATTGTTAAGGAATAGCACGTTTTACTGTAACTTACAGCGTTTTATGACCGTTTGTCCAACATATGATCTTGAAACTTGAAATGGCCTTTGCAAGGGAAATTTTCGCGTTTTTAAAATAGTAATTTTAGTGAAATTTCCAAACATTTTTTCCAGCTTCAAGAACAAGAATATACCGGTACGTTGACATAAACCTAATTAGAAATTATGAGTTAAAAGGCGTCAGAATATTTCATTTTAAAATCACTGCAAAATTCGTGTATAGCTTGGCAGGTTGTGACATATGGCGTTACTGGGCAAACGTAGCCGCGGGGTATTATTTGAAAGCCTGGGAACTAGGCTGGCGAAATGGCTGGCGAAGTGACAAATTTGATAAACGCCGTACTTCATCTAGTATTATTATTATTATTATAAGCTATGTAAATTGCAATGACTTGCTGTGCTCAACGCGAACAGTGGGGAACCCCCCCCCCCCTCATTATTATATGATATATATGGTTGCTGTTGGTACTTGGTAATGGTCGCAAATTGGAGTACGGTTGTAGGATGGTATATATTACAGTGTTTTCTCAAAAGTTTCATTTTGCTCGAACACTCACCATGTTGTTGTTCAGTGTACCGCCTGAACGCAGTGCGTGCCTATTTTTGTACGTTCGTTGACTCGATTAACTGTCGACTAATGAGCGTTCAGCACGCAATCGACCAGCGAGCGGCACGATCAGAAGGGAACCAAATAGTGATACAGGCAGCGAAGTATTTTTGCTTGTTTGATACAGTGAGCTCAGACCGTATGACCGAACTTAGAGAGAATCCAATTACTTCGGCACGCTTCTTACTAGTTGCATTATCATACAGAACTTTACAACAAAAAACACAAAACATAAAAATTTAAAACACAGGGCAATTGCTTCTTCTGTCGGGCTAAATTAATTAAATTACAAGATTTCCACTGGATATATTGGATTCCTATACTAGATTGCTATGCTGGACCTCCCAGTTTCAAGGTCTCTGAAATGTCGTAAAAATATTTACATAAGTTAGAGTATGATTGATCATCTCGTTAGTTTGATATGTCTGCATCATTGCTTTAAGTCTATAAGCCGCTGTTAGTTTGTTTTAATCTTTTTTACACCAAGAGTTACTTATCTAAGCACTTGAGTTTTCACCCAAGTTTTATTATTATGACCAATATTGAAAATTTTTAATCTGTTTAGTCGAATTTGCCCGGCTTAGATATGACAATAGAACTGGTTACCTCTAAGCTGACAATCTGACTTGTGGGTTTATAAATATTGATTATATGGATGGCATAATTTTTTTTACACTTCGACTAATTGAACGCGAATAAAATATACGTTTTCTACTTTTCTTTGCCTTTCTTTCGTTTCCTTCTCTATGGTGAGACCATGAGCGTTTGTGATAAGTCAGGCAATTTATACCAAGAGTCGAAAATTTTTTTCGTCTATTCGTCTAAATCTTCGTCAAGACCGAAACCCATTCGTATAAAACAGCAGTCGTATGGTATTTATAGGAACGTGTGGAAATGCACAGCCTCACGAAGTTACGATGACTGGTCATTTTGGCGCTCGTAGGGTTGTGTAAATTGCCAGTCTCTACCCATTGTTTGTGACTTTTCCTGTTCTGTCAGCTAATCTTGATAATCGTATTAAAGCATGAACCATATAAGGGGATTCAAATATTGGTTTATATAAAACACTGAGCAATCGTCGCCTCGCTGTCGGCGATGGTCGAGGATGAGAGTGATTTGATTATAAACAATGACTTATTATTCATCACTAATCACCAACAATGCAACTCACCGAATGTGGCAAACGATTGGCCCTTCTCGTGACATCTTCGCTTCCCGGGAGAAGGATATTGAGTGTGCGCTTATTGATTTGAACGATTTCTCACATTTACTAGCGAAACGTGCTGTGATGGGGGCCAAAAAATCTTTCAATTTGTACAAAATTTGTCTTTTTCTGATAGCATTCCATCATAGCGTAATCAGAGTCTAATAAAATCTTCACAGCTTCTTAATACCTGCAAAATTTAGGCCGCAAGGCAATCCGGAAAAGTGTTGCAATCGGGGCAAATCTTCACAGCCTTTTAATGCCTTCCACGTTTGTCCTTCCCTAACTGTAATCTGTTATATTTAATCTGGGACTTAGAATCGTCACAGCCTTTTAATGCTACAAAATTTGTCCCCCTTCGGCAGCTGAATTAGCTGGAGCAATTTTTAGCGCAGTCATGTTCCGTTAGTTTCACTTGAGTAAAGCCTGGAACGCCTGGAACGATAACTGACACCTTACGGCCATATTGAAGCAAATATGAAAGGCATTGTGCCAGTTACTTTCTATATTTGTTGTCTGTGGGTGACAAATCAACTCTAAAATCTCACGGGTTTTGCTCAAATGAAGATAATTATCTAGTTATAAAGATAAATTTTTTAATTCGAAATAAACTGAAGAAATTTGACGCCAATTCAGGGAAAATTTAATGGATTTTTACCTGAGGTACTAAATCGTAACCTTGACCCGAACTCAATTAGTTAGACATTCTCGTTCGGAATTTAGAGACAGAAAAAAAAACGATGCAAATATGCCGTTACGTTGTATTACAGTAATCCTTTGAGTTATTTAAAGCTTGTACAATATTCTATAGAAAAGAATTTAGGCTAAAGAGCTCTTAACTCCATGCCAATGTCCATTCTTAAAAGCAGATAATGTTCATTATTTTCCATAGCGCACTTGCCCGTGTGCCCACGTGCACCTGATATTGATGTCAAGCGGTGGGTTACATTGTACTTCCACCCAGTAGCGTAGCTAGCCTGATGATTTGTCCCGCTTTGCTAATATTTTCGTGTTCATTGACTGTGAAAACAATAAATTTCTGAAGAAATGAATAATTATAATAACTCGAAATTTACATAGCGGGACAAAATCATCGGGCTGGCTACGCCATTGCAGTTCCACCTCCATACCATAGGTATATAAATTGTATTACTGACTAACTCATTTGGATTATTGGCTAAACAATGTTGGTCGTTACTGCTAGAATTGAAAAGCGAAGTTATCCAATAAGGAATTATCCAATTGGTATACCTTTTAAGCTTTGTCTGTGCTGAACACACACAGAGATATTCGTATCATCACAATGAGCTTACGGTTCGTTGGATATGTGATCTCGGAATTTTTGTATAAAATACAGAAAATAATCTAATTAACTTTTAAAAAAAATATTAGATTGGTTAATTTCGAATAAAGAGGGATTTGGCGCCAAGTGGGAGAAAGTCTTTTTAACGATTTTCGTGTACATTAATTAACAAATCTCGTGTTGGAAGTGGTCATCATCGTGACCTTGACACCAAACCTCAACTATGACCTCAACTCAATTACGTATTCTCTCCCGGGGGGTAGTGTGTAGGTAAATTCGTGCAAAAAAATGGTATTCCATTAATTAACTGATTCTGTTCAGAGGGATTAGTGGCTAGGCCTGTGGGTCATGCATCGTCGACAACATATGGAAATATAGAGTCCTCTGCCGAACCAAGGACATCTGGAAGTCAATTTCGACCTGGAGTCTGGGGTAAACAGTTAAATGCGCGAGAAGGGACTGGTAAAGAAGATGAGAAGGAGAAGTATGAACCAGAGGCATGGAAACCACCATAATACATCTGGAATCTGGATCGAGCAGACTAGGACGCACAGCAACAACGCAATGCTGTCGCCAAAAGTGCAATGAATCTACTATAGAAAGAAAGGAAAGTGAAAGTCCATAATTGAGTTGTAGCCTTTGTCCTCGCTCTCAAAAAGGCATATCGAATACATATTGTCCATGTAATCGCCTATTTCAGCTGTATTTAATTTGTAAGAATGATACAATTAACATGCTGTAATACACCAAAATCAATACTGTGTATTCTGTTTATTCAGACTATTATTCTATAGGAGCTCTGCCATAATACTGCACACTCATGGACACAGGCTACTATGAGTATTGATACATCGGTGTTTAAATTCGCTATAATATAAGATAACGAACAGCTGTTTTTAGTCTTCTTGGCGCTGGCGACAGTTCTTATATGCTTTCCAATTTTAAGCTCAGTAATTAAGTCGCCATGTTACGCACAGTCAGGACATAACAGGACATGGTAATAGTGCATGTAAGGCTAGTGTTGCGTGATCGCTTTCACTCCATCTTTTACCTTTGCACTATACTGAATGAAACAACCTTTTTATTTTTCCCTAGCTATCCGATAGTTTAATGCTATGAATGATAATAAACGCCCACTCGCCTGACATGGATCTATGAGCGTTTCGCTGATTTTCAATGTCGCGTTTTTTTAGTTTTTACTTCTGTGTGCGCGCACGAAAAATTTCTCATAATTCTTACATTATTGTGAAACAATTAATAGGCGTATGATGCTTCATGTGTGTTTTTGATAAGGTATAATTTATTGCATAAACACTTTAAGGTTCTAAAATTTTACCTGGGGTCACACACAAAATATATACGAAGGTACGACTTGGTTCAATGTGGAAAAGTGGGGGTTTTCCGTGACAACCTTTGGCTTTAATCGGCCAAATTCTAATGCATCGACATTGTATTTTTCGATTCTTGTCGTGAATTTCAGTGTAAGGGGGTGTTAACATCTTATAATGTTGGAATGCGTGGGAATAAAGATGGAGTATCATATTTGGGTCATGGAATGCTCGAGTTTTATTAAAGTCGTCTTGACTTAATAGCCTTATAGGAGATTTTGTGATCAAGCATGGCGTGGGCGAACGAGTTATTAATGAAATGTTTCAATATCTGTCAATACACAAAAACGATAAATTTTTTTTGAAATGCATGGTAATTGAAGTGCTGGTACTCTTCTAGCAATCCATCATTGCTCGGTCGGAAATATTCACACCTTTGAGTCTATCCAGTGAGGCGTAAGTGAAGGAAATTTCCAAACGAGAGTTCAAGGAAGTTCGTTTATAAGGACCCAAGACGTCGCGTTTTCGCGTGTTTTTTTTTTCTCACAGGTGACAAGGAGGTTATCATTCTTAGAAGGGCATGCATGAAAGATACTTTAAGATTGTGAAAATTATTGCTGAAATTAATAAGCTTTGACACAAAAGTGGTGCTCGTTTGTCACGACGCACGAGTGCTGGCTTGATTTTAAGCTGATTTCCACTTAGAATATCACTCTTCTCCACTTGCAAATCATTTTTAATATCGTTTGGGTTCGAAGATTTTGTTTCACGCATATTTTATTAAAATAATTTTAAACAAAATGGTCTTCCTTTTTCAATCTCCTATTGAATACTCGTAAGAAAAACCTGAAAGATGGTTCCATTTAAGTGGCCCGAAATTTTTTGTCTGCCATTTTTATGAAAAGCAAACAACTGGACTCTGCATGGAATGCTAACTATACTCGATGTACAGGATTTGTATTTCGAGTATCGCTATAATGTTTGCTTCAAACAGATCTTATATACCGTTGTATTAATGATTGTTTATGTTCATCATAAACATACGTAGGTCACATTTTTGCCATCGGCAGCTGGTATAAGTTTGATGCTTAATGCATATTTACATACTACTTCAGGTTATCATTTGCTAATGTTTAGATTTCTCTTCACTGATGTGCCATTAATTTCCTCGAGAGGAAATTAGTAAAATTTCCTGCTGCTCTCGCCTGAAACATATACAATTCGTCTGTAATTATTGTCGCATGCACAGACATAATGCATGCGATCAGTTGTGATAAGGCTCTTCAGATGGGAATTGAGGAATTTTTACGTGAAAAATTACCAGTTAATTCTTTTACATTTGCATGGTTTTTCCTTCCTTCGTTTAATAGTACATAGTGAAGAAATTGTCGGGTAACGGAAGTACGATAAGCGGACGGTGCGTCATCGTTTTATAAAGGGCGGTAAATTACGTCTCCGTGAAACTTAGAATTGAAGCCCCATTCACACTATATGGGTTATATGGATAAAATTTTATCTCTATACTAATTTGTACGTAGTGTATATCGAATTTGAGTCGCTGCTTCTCAATATATCGACTCAAATTTACATGTAGATTGATATTATAAAAAGGAATAAACTATTTAGGGCATGCACTTTGATTGGTGAAATATCCCTCCCTATATGCTATAAGAATAGAAGTGGATCATCTTCTGAAGGTATGGTTGGCATTCCGGAGTTTTTCAGGTCCAAAATATCCCATAATAGCATTGCTTCCAGCTTACTGCAAATATTTGGGTATAGACCTCTCTCTTTCGAAAACATAATACACAAGAGTTATCGGCAGTGACCTGACCGATTGACCGTAAAGTTTTCGTCGGCCGTAGTCTAGAACATATGTTGTAACTATATGTAGCCATTATGTCTATGGGGTTATAGCCAAACTGTCTATGTAAATACGGCATAGTTTTAATTGCTATCTTCAGTTGTTGCTGGGAGAGTAGTCCTGGATATGTTATTCATCTAAAACGCTGCAGTTTTGTCAACACATAATCACGCATCCCGCGTGAGCGGGGTCCAACAACGAGGGGCAAAACGAAACGGTGGAGGTGGGGTTCGGAGAGACAGATGACCTGCGGTTGATGGTTCTTCTCATTCCTTGTGTTTTTAGTATATGATAAGACTCATATCAATTTTGTTGTAAAATGTCATTTTTTCCTGAATACGCACAGAAAGATACGAAGGCACTACAGCCGCCTTCTCAGTTTGTTCTGTGTAATTTGGGAGATTTTATATTTGCACTTTTATACTTATGTGTTGTTTGAAGACTATACGCTGTCAGTATATATGAAGTATGAATTCGTGTTGCTTTTGTTTTTCCTCTCACCACATGTGTTAGATGCTTTCATATAGTGTTTCTTTCAGTCCTCACATTCACACGTATTTAAAAAAAGGTTTACTTTTATGTTCAAAATGTTATTCTTTGGATTGGCGATAGTCTTACTGTCTGTCTTAACCTAATTTATCAGTATTTATGTTTAAGAATTCACTCTCAGCCGTAATAAGCAGCTGGTTAAAATAGTCGTGCAAAGCTTCACGCAGTATCTCTGAAAAGAATTCCAGGTCTCTGAGCTTGTCAAACTGGAGCTAGAGCTCGCTTCACTTCATTATAATTTGACATGATGCTTACTAACGCATGTAAGGGCACTGGCCCATTCCATTCCCAGCCGCACAGATAGACGAAGCCAAAATAGGTGATATACATGCAATCAGATTTATTCCTCCAAAAACGACGGGATTTCAAGGAATTTTCCAAATACGCGGCTGAGCACTCTCTTTGATGCCAAATTTGGTTTATTATTAATATTATGCATACTTTTACATTTTTGTCTTGCATGGAGAAAACAACTCTCTAACTTTTAAACCGTCTCATTTGTACGCTTAGCGGGCTCGTCCTACGCATGACGCACGGCACATACTGATTAAATCATCATTCATTCGGCTTGTCGTTACGAGGTTTTTTATCCTGATATACCCGAGTACGTTGAAAATTGTTATCGGCCGGTACCGAGCAGAATACCAAAAATGGTAAAATATTTTGTGTGCGATTAGCGAAACTGAGTATTATGAACGGTGGCATCAGTCACTTCGATGTGACGATACCATGCAGGTCCCTGATAAACATCTAATTAAATTAGGGTTGTCACCCCAAAACATTAACTTTGTGCATGCAATAAAGATTAGTCCCTCGCTTGATTTGACTGATGAATTCGCATTGGAATTTTGCTTTCACAAATATCAGTCAGGATTCTCAGGAAATAGCCTTGAGGACATGGAAGTCCAAGCCTTCGAGGACCTAGCATAGTTTCCAACCATCATTCTTTCAAGGTTTCGAGTGGACACAGGACAGCCATGGTTGATAGCAAGGGTGGACAGTAGCGTTCAGTAGTGGACAGCAATAGCAGACAGCGCCTTAACACTAAGTCATATGTATGCCGCTGTTCATGGTATCGCAGACGCTGGCATCGAATGGCGAGTCTACTGAAGCCCGTTTTCAACTGACGATGTGATTGGTTTGCGAAAAAATTCCCCGCGAAAAAGTGGAATTGCTTCCTACATTTTATCTGTTCGCGCGAATAAAATAATCCGACTAGTGGAAAACGGGCTTTAGCCTAAATCAGATAATTCACAACTCACGATCTAACATTTCTCTATTTATTTACTGAATAATATACATTTTACAACAATATTTTCATATTAAAATGAATTAAATACAAGCTTCTAAAGAGACATGCTTCGAACGTCGTTCATTTGATGTGACAAAAACGCATTAAAAACAATGGAGAATTATGTCTCGCTGTCCATTGCTGTTAATGACACATTCCGCCCACATGCATTAATGCAATCACACATTATGTGGCCAGTGGCCATTCGATATTTTGAAGATGAACCTTGGAGTAAATAGTAAAATAATAAAGCCTGGTTCTCATATGGTCACCGACCGTCGGCGATGCTTATTGTTTAAGATCATTGCAGCTTTGTTGCTCCGTCAAATAGACAATCATATCGTGTGGTTCTGGCTCAAAAACACGCCTCGAAATTTCGACCATTACAGCATACTGAACTGTATTTGATGTTTGATGACAGTTAATACTGATAGGCATGCTTGAAGGCGGAAACTTCTAGTCAACATTTCATACCAGATACACTCTGACTATCAGTATATAATCCTGGTAACAAGGTTGCGCCTTGTCATGTCCACGGAGTTCTGGGTTGATGAAACGACATTTGTAAAAGTAATCTATCGAAAAGCATGACATCAAATACGGCTCATACTAAAACTAACTGAGAACCTTTAAGGTCTAAAATGGCTTAGCATTCAGTAATCAGCCTCATAATTAAGTGCGTTACTCGCACTTTCGCAACACTATTAATT